CCGGGCACGGCAGGCTGGGTTGCACACACCGAGGTCGATGGGCACACAGCTGGTGGCGGAGCAAATGAAAGCGTGGGTGATGGACTAGAGGATGGGTGGGTGCGCGGGTGGGTGGGTGAGTGAATAACAGGTAAGTTCGCTCAGGGACTGCTGACTGCACACTGCTATGCCCTGGATACTGGAGGGGCGGTGGTGACCAAACTGGGTTGCTGGGTGGCCAGGCTCCAAGTCCCCAGCCCCACTTTCCTCCCTGCTTTGTTCTTTCCCAAGGAGATGGCAAAGGGGATTGCTCACCCTTGACTTGGGGTGAAGCTGGGCAACCCCACCTCCTGGAGCCGTGCTAACCGGGACCAGTCTGGCCTGCCCTGCCCTGCCCTGGGGAAGATCTGGGTTACTTTCCAAAATAACCTGGCTCTCGGCAGAGCTGGTACCCAAGAAGGGTTTGGAGGCTTCCTTTCTGGGGGAGTTTTAAGCCCAGAGATAAGTGGCTGGGATGTGGGGTAGCTGGTACTCACAACACAGGTGCCTGGAGCTGGAGGGTTGTATTCAGGCCCAGAGCCCACCCTTACCAGGTCCCATTCCCACCCTCCAGTTTGCTGGGGCCCTGGTGGGGTGAAGTCAGCTGGAGCTAAGAATGGAGGGAGCAGGCTGAAGGCCAGCGGCTCAGATGCAGAGCTGGAGGCTGCAGGAGAAGGTCTATAGCCTGCAGGCTGTGCCTCTGAGAGTCCTGGGGTCCTGCCAGGGACATTTCTTCTCTAGGGTGTTGGAAAGCTCAGGACCCAGCTGTGAGCTGGTGGTAAGAAGATGCTGGCCATTCCTCTAGGCCTGGAAGGGTTGACAAGCCTGTGGGCAGGGCCCAAGGTAGACAGACATGGCAAGCGCTCAGGAGTGAGCAGGGGGTATGCATGAGCCTCCTGTATGTGCCATTTTAGGACGGTGCTGGCTTGGGTGCACACATGGTCACGTGTGTGAGTGTGCGTGTACAGAGCTGCAGTGCGGACTTCTCAACAGGGGGCTCCAAGGGCCAGCTCGCTTTGGGATCACTATACCTAGACTCCCGGGGTCCTGCCAGCTGGGTCAGACTGAGGCAAGGCCTCAGGGAAGGGTCAATCTATGGAGCCAGATAAGGTATCATAAGGGACTGTCAGAAAGCATAAAGGCCCCCTCCTCAGTACCACCCCCCCCCCCAGCC